CGATGAAAATGTTTGGTAAAATTAGCTGAAATTGACTTATTTGAAAAACTACCTAATTAAGCTTATGAGATAAGCTCGAGTTTTTTAACATAGTTCGTTCTACCAAACAGATCTTATTGAAGCTTATAAGCTAATCAAATAAGCAATAAGTATGCTTACCAAACAAAGCCTAAGTATAATTTTTTTTTTTTTTGGGTTAACTGCATGAGCATTTTTGTGCAGGCGCTAAATTCCGAGGAGGCAAAATTTAAGGCTTTTGATCTTGCTTCGAAGCCCGAAGGAACCGGGACGCCGACCAAGGACTTTAAGGCTTTGTTTTCCCAAATCACCACTAAGTTCTGATTCATGGGCTCTGAATCTGATAAGTTTATCATTAATTTTTTTTTTTTCTAATGTATTTACAGTTATATGAGACACTGAGATTCTGCAATAATGTCTGGAGACTTTGAAACTACAAAGGCCCTCTTTTTTGTTATGAATGAATATGTCAAAAAAATACTCTCTCTGGCCATGGTTGAATTTGTTCGTTTATGTCGATGCATGAAAAATAATGCTAATTGTGAAATGTGTGAAACAAAAAAAATCGGGTATTCGCCCGTCGAAAACCCTCGAGTCCGGGACCAAATTTAGAGAACGATACACTCTTTTACATAGACGATCCGAAAATCGAAACTACTGAGACATGAAAATTCAGATTTTACTTAATAAAAACTAAAAAAAAAAAATGCAGAATTTGACAAACAGTCAAGAAAAGTAACACTCATTAATCACTGAAGAAATAACAAATTTAAGAACTAAACATTTGTAAGCTACAAATTACTCAATTTGCAGTTTCATGATGAGATATTATTGTGATACATATTATTAATTTTAATTCTGATCCAACGTATGTGTTTTTTGAGTGCAAATATGTTAGCCGATTTGCCAAAACATCGAATTAGGTATATTATATAGAATTCATGCATAATGATTGAAGATTGATGCATACACACGCAAGTTCTAGTCTAGGCTTTGGCCTCCTTTCGTTGTACCGAAAAAAAATAATATATTTCATATAATAAACTATATGAAATTGGATTTGGATTTGCATTCTTGTCCCAATAATGTCAATAGTTTATTACAGTAAATAAAATATTAATTTGGATATGGATTTGCATTTCTGTCCCATTATAGTCCATGTCAATTGAAGCAAAACTAGTATGAATCTCGTGCGATGCACGGGTAAGAGATATTCATTAATATTTATAAATTTAAAATGCTCGTTAAATAATATTTGTGGAATAAAAATATAGAATCAATATGTAATATAATTTACTTATTTAATTGATTGGAAATATTATATGAAATTTAAATTGTGCAAAATTACAGAAAACATGCTTATTTAAATTAGTACATAACCCGTATATTGCACGTAACTAATAATAAATTATATTATTTTCATTTCAATATGAGTCATTTAAAAAAAATTAAAAATTCGATTTGACTACAATGTGATTCCATAAAATAATTATTTGAATCTAATTTAATCATATATTTAAAAATATATGTTAATAATAAGTATAATTATAAGACTAATATTGTTTTATTAATTAAAATAAATTTATTTTTGTATTAGATATCCAAATAAAAAATTCTAAGTAGTTGAGTAATTTATATTCTATAAATGACAATTCTATTTACGTCAAAGTTAATATTGACTCGTAAGTCATGAATAATTATTTATTTGACTTTACATTTGGAACTCAAATTTAGACTACACAAAAAATTCCCTTATATATTTCACACACCCACACACACGCATATATATTATCGTATTTTTCTAAATTTGTTGTTGGTTATCTTATTAGTAAAATTTATCAACTAATTCTCTAGAATTAAATTATAATTTTTAAATTTTAGTAATCAATATTTGTTTAAAGATCTTTTTAATTTAGAAAAGGAATACTTCCAATTTATCAAATTATCACCGATATCTTATTGTAAGTTATAATGGGAATATGATAAAATTTGTGAATCATATTACCTTAATTTTATAACAAATCAACTTAAAATTTGACTTTCATAACAATACCAAATAAAATTCATACCACTTATCTTGTTTTCAAAATTTCCAAATACATTTCTATTCATACAAATAAAATTTATACCATTTAAATTCAGACATTTCATACCAAAATAAAATCGCTCACAAATAACACAATATTTCCTACCAAAAATAAAAATGGACATTAGATACCTAAAATAAAATCATCCACTTTATACAAAAATTGAATTTATTAATTTTGGCAACTTTATACCATAGATTGATTAATTATGTAATTTCTATAGGTGGGATTTTTTAAAATTAACAAAATAAATTACCAAGTTTAGTAAGTTTAAAAATTTCGGCGGTATTTTAGTTTCTATTTCAGGTAAATCAACAAAATCAGTGGCTTAATATTTTTCTAGATTAGCAACAAAATCGATTGTCAATTTGTTTTTTAAAAAATCCATTATATTGTTATTATTACAAATATAATAAATAATCTATATTTTAGGAGATTCATGCGTCTAAAAAAGTTAGAATCCTTAAATTATAGGATTATTTTCAAATTTTTTAGAATATTGATTGATTAGATAAATATGGACACTATATATTTTCAAACTTAAAGTAAA